CAGAGGTGAGATTCAAGTGAATTAAAAAATTATAATAAATAATGATATAATAGAAAAATCCTAATAAAATAAAAAAAAATCCAAAACATTATAGATAATAAACTATGATATTTAGTCAAATTTAAAAAAGAAAAATCATCGTTGGTAATGTCATTTTAACATTATCTTCATTTTTATTAACCTGCTTAATTTTCACAATTTGTATTATTGATAAATGTTTTTTTAATTTCAATTAAATGATCATAGGATTCGTTCCAAATTCTATCGTTGTTCCTACTATTTTCTTTGAATATTCATTGTCCCCTTTTTCTTCTAACTTTATTTTAGTTTATTTTATATCTGATTCTCAACTTTATCTTAATTTATTTTAATCTTTTATTTTTTTAGGAAAAAATTCTCTTTATTTTCATAGTTTGTTTCCTAATATGGATAGATAGATAAATAGGTAGGTAGGTAGGTAGAATTTGGAACGGATCCTCTGATCATTTAATTGAAATTAAAAACTATTGTCAATAATAAAAATTGTAATTGAAATTAAAAACTATTGTCAATAATAAAAATTGTGAAAATTAAGCATGTTAATAAAAATAAAGATAATGTTAAAATGACATAATCCTCGAACGAGTTTCACTAGAGAGTCTCGAAGTGAGCTAGATCTAAGCTAGATCCTCATATATTGTTCATCGGCCATTTCTCCTAGTGGATTTTTGAATAAAAAAAATCAAAGAATGACCAAGTAGGCATCGAAGTACTAGCATGAAACCAAGAAAAACACGAGAATGATTGGAAAAAATCACCTTTTATTTCATCTTTTTTTTCCATCTTCTTACAAGAATTTTCTCGATTCCTTACATTTTGCTCTCTTCTCTCTTTTTTTCTCCCCTTAATGAGATGTAGAATGTCTTTATTTATAGTTGAATCTTCTCACATCTAATGATATACATCATTTTATATCAACGGTTAAGATCAAACCATATTTATACAATCTCCCTAGTTAAGGAATTTAAATCAATCTTATTAATACATTCTATAGTTATAAGATTACATGGGATATGAAAAGATATCAACCTATAAATTTTTTGACATTTGAATTAAATTATCTGCATAAAATTGAGTAATTACACTATCCCATGATATAATATTTTCCCTTTAAAATGACTTTAATATTCCAAATCTAATGGCTAAAATTAAATATGATTAAAATTGAATAAAAACAATAATTTAAACACTAAACATATAATTTATTATAAAATAATTTATAAACAGTCTCTGCTATTTGGGTTCTATAGTGGTTAAAGAGTTAGAATATCAATTTTGTTTGTTACATTACTTCTTTTTCATTTCCGCATTTATTTATATATAAATAATTAAGTAAACTCTTAGGGTGTGTTTGGTTGGGAGAATGTGAGATTCTCATGGGAATAGAAAACACATTTCCCCGTTTCGTTGGCCGGGAATGTCATTCCCAGTAATCTTACATTACCAATAGTGGATTTTTTGGGGTATATTATGATCATTCCCGGTAATCTTACATTACCAATAGAGGATTTTTTGGGGTATATTATGAGGAATGTCATTACCTCTCTTTCCTTAGGTATTGTTGGATTACCGGTATTTTGGACTAAAATGCCCTTAAATTTTTTTCTTTCAAAAATATCCTTATTTTGTCATTGAATAATAAAAATTCTACAAAGGCTAAATTACAAATTTATCCTTAAACTATTTTAGATTTACAAAAAAAAGTCTATAATTAAAATTTTATATGAAGTTCAGGGGTTAAAATAAAATTTTACCCTTTCATTAAACTTTTTTATATTTTAAATTTTGTAAAAAAATAATATAAATTTTATGAATTTAATTTTTTTAAAGAAAATATATAAATATTTTTTAATTTGTTAAAAAAACAAATATATAATAAAGACAATTTAGTCAAATATTCATTCCAATAATTTTTTATTCCTTTAACCAAACACGGTAATCTTACATTCTTGCTAAACCAACCAAACACAAAATACAACATTCTTAGTAATCATATTCCCTGATAATCTTTTATTCTCACTGGTAATCTTACATTCCGTGAACTAAACATACACTTAGGGTGTGTTTGGAACGAGGAAAACATTTTACGGAAAATGTTTTCCCCGTTTTCTTGTGTTTGGTTCCCGTAAAACACTCTGGTCAACGTAAAATGTTTTACAGTTAATGGAAAAGGAGGGGAAAACACGATATTTCAACTTACCGTTTGGAAAAGGGTAAGTTGTTTTCCAGCTTTGTCCTGTCCCTTGCTCCACACAAAAAACATAGTCTTTGGTTCTCTCCTCCCTTGCTCCACACCAAAAAATCGATCGACTGTTTGGAATCCTTCTCACCGGTGAGGCAGGCGATCGTCTTCTCAAGTATCTCTCGTTTCATCTTCTCCCTTTTCATCTTCCTTGATCTCATTTTCTTGTTTCATTTTTCCCTCATTTTCCATTTTCAATTTCATCGATGAGGCATAAAATAAAGTTCTGAAAGCTCCATTTTCATTTTCCATAGTTGTGGTGTTTTCTTGGATGTACAGCCAAGAGAAGCACTTGAAGAATTATGTTCAGTTCTACGCTTTTTTTGGGGTTTGATTTTATTTAATCAATTTTTTGTTGGTTGGTGGATTCTTTTGAGTTACTGTAGCACCTGATTTATGTTCTGTGAATTGGGTTCTTTTTTTATTGTTGAAATTTTATTTATTGACCTTTTTTTTAAATGCTTTGATCTTGAATTCTATGACGATTTTGCATTTCTGATTAAAAACGAATGATTATGCACTTACGCTATTCGTATGGATTATGAAATTGAGGGATATTTGGTTTGAATTGTTGTATATGGTCACGTTAGAGGGGGGTTTTAATGTTTTTGGTAATTTGTATAGGTTCTTCCCAGAAAAGGCTGCTGCTCTAGCACTTTATCTTCTTATGAAGCAGAAGATGTTGGTTCCAGTATGGAGGGAAGAAAGCATGAGGAAAATGGATCAAGCATGGAGGGTATAATGGAGGAGACACTGGCACCGGGTGAAAAAACAGTTAAGCCAGTTAATGAGGCTTCTGCTTGGTCCATGAGATTGAATGCACTGCAGCTGTCAACTGATCAAAGCACTAACATTGAAGAAGTATGTTCTGAATATTGAAAAATTGAGTGCAGTTTTTGTTGTCTGCCATCATCTTTGAGTGCTTAAAATCTTCATTTTTCATTAAAACGACTATGTTGCTTGACAATTTTCTTTGCTTAAGCTGGCATCAATCTCCTGAGTTGTATAGGCTTGGATTTTATACGACCCAAGTTTCGCTTCATAGCTGATTCCTATATCATTAGGAAAATAATAGTTGCAACTCATAGGCTGTTTACTTTTATTTTACTTGAGTTTCTTTGAAAGGTATAATGATTTACTGGAATGTTCTGTGTAGATTGTTGTTCCTTTAGTAATGCTATAGTCTTCCTCTGAACACCTTAGACATGTAGTTTCATTTACCTCAGTTATGCCTTTAGCCATTGTATGTGTCATTACCTACATGTCTGAAGTATTACCAAAATACCTTCCCTTCTTTTTCCTTTCGAAATACCTTCCCTTCTTAATATATTATTAATATTATATCCAATAAACCTACATAATATTACTTTTACGTTGAAATTCATTTCTAAAAAATGAATGAATAAGCATCATGAAGATTTTAAACCTAAAATAGTTTATTTATAACACAATTAACATAAATTATTAATATTATCTAAAAATATAATTTGACGTATTTATAAAAATATAATTTTTTATAAAATATAATTATATAAAAAAATAAAATGAACCTTTAAAACTAAAGTAAAGAATAAAAACATATTGAATATGTATGTTTCTTTATTAAAAAGAGATTCTGAAAAATTAACCAAACACTGTATAACATTTTACAATGTAACATCCAAACACTGAAAAATGTTTTTTAAAAAATATTTTTCAGAAATACAATTCATTTTCCTAAAAATATTACATACCTTAGTTTGCATGAAAACTGGAAAGTTCTGACTACACCATAAAAACTCGCCCATGACTCCACTTTATTATCAATATCAAGTCGGAGAGTTCATATATTATATATAAGTGAAATATTAAGATTAATATTTATTTTTAATTTTAAATAAAAATAATTTCTGATTAATATATAGATATGTAGACTAGGGTGAGAAAAAAGATATTTCAATCATATTTAAATTAGATTGGATAGAATAAGATAAAATTATTTAACTTTAAAAATATTCATAGATCAAATTAAATCAAAACAAAATCAAAATTTTGTATAATATTAATATATTTCATATTATACTAACTCCAATTTAAAATATCAACTTCAAATTTTATTCAAAGAAAAAAAAATATTTGTAAAAAGAATATATTTGTAAAAATAAAAAAAATTTAGATATCAACTTGATATAACAAGTCAAAGATTCATTGATGTGATGGATCATCGAGAGGAGCGAACACCATTGGAGGTAGAGTGCCATCCTATATGACTCATTAAAAAAATTGAGTCACTATTAATACTGGAAGATTAAAGAGCCACCAAGAAGGTGAGAAATAGAGATGATATCCCATGACAGATGGGGAGAAGGAAATCCAACAAGCTAAACACAAGAACCGCAAGATACCTATATACAGGAAACATGAGGCAACAAGGCAGCATTACCATTGGAGAACAAAACCAGATCGAACCCTAAGAAAAGGCCGTCTTACGCAGAGATGTTTATTGGCGACATGAAAAGCTCTATGAAAAAGGAAAAGATCTTCAAAGAAAAGGAGATAACCCTACAGGAAGGTGACGCTAGTATTGAAAATAATGGACCCTTTCCTAGAATCAAATTTTCTAAAATGGATTCATGAAATGATACACAAGAACATGAAATGCAGGATAATCTTGGTTCTTCTTGGGAAAAGAATTAGATACATGGTCCTCTCAACCAGAATTCAAACACTTTGAAAACCAATGGGAAATTTCGATCTTGTCGACTTAGACAACGACTATTTCCTAGTTAAACTCGACAAGGAGGAAGACTACACAAGAGTTCTCACTGAACTTACTGTTCATTCGTGGAGTAGAGAGTTTTCAACTGTCGAAAGATACTCATCAAAAGTGATAGTTTGGGTTAGGTTATCAAGATTACCATATAGATACTACACCAAGATGTTGTTAAGATCCATAGCTAGCTTGATCGAAAGAGTTATTAGAGTCGACTACAACACAAACGCTGGTGAAAAAGGCAGATTTGCTAGGATAGCAGTGGTGGTCAATCTAAATAAACCCTTAATTCCATGTATCAGTGTTGATAACTTCAACCAAAAGACAGGGTATGAAGGTCTGCAACAAATATGTTTCAACTGTGGGATTTATGGCCATGCAAAAGAGAACTGCAATCTCAGGAAAGAAGGAATGCAGACAAATGACAAAGTTAACCCACCACCTCAGATTGAGGAAAATCAGATGGAAAGGATTGAAAACCCATCAACTCAGCGAGAGAACCAAACCTCCACAAAGAATGAAATCATTTTCGGTCTGTGGATGGTGGTGACAAATGAACCAAGAAGACCAAGAAGAAAAAATACGCAAGAAAACAAGGAAGAAGAGAATGGGAACCAGAAATCTAAGTTTGCTCCACTAGAAGATTCTAATTACTTAACTGAGAAATCCAAAAAGAGGCGGAAGAGTTACAAACCGATCAAATATCCCATGAAATGATAAAAAAAAATAGCCACGTGATGGAAAAAAACATCGTCTTATCCAGCTAGGGCAAAGGAAAACAGCCAGTTGCAGCGCAGAACCAAAAGAAAACACCCGGAACAACAAGAACAATCATTGAGGATAGTGGAGTGCAAGACGATACGCTAGTTGATGTGCTAATGGGTTGATGTGCTAATGGTTGTCGGGGACCTAAATATCACGAAAATAGCCCTAGAACACACTACAAGAATTTTCTACTATTGTGACAAATTTTAATTTATCAAAATTAAATTTGTCACTATTAGTAGCTTTTTGGTGACAAAATAAATAATCGTCACATTAGATTTAAAAAAGATATACAATTATGAAAAAAGTTAAAATCGTTATAATAATTTATCATAATTAGCGAACATGTGTAACATATGGTGATAAAATAAATTTTATTACGAATTTTTGTCACAAATGTTTCCCTCCAATTTTTTGACGCCAAATTAATTGCATATAGTGACAACTTTTGTATCTAAAAGTTTTAGTAACCATGACAGAAAAAATTATCACAACAAATAATGAGATTTAGATTTGTTGTGACAAATTTTGTTTATAATTAAATATTTTAATTATAGTGACAAAATGTATAGTCACAAATGATTATCTCCAATTTTTTGTACAAAAACAAAATCATATATTAACATGTTTTGTAACTATAAGCTATAATTATTATTATAAAAAAAGTTGTCACTACAAATAATGAAATTCAAGTTTTTAGTAAAAAACAGTGTTTGTCGTTATATATTTTAATTATAATGATAAAATATATTGTCACAAAGATTTTCCTTCATATTTTTTGCGTAAAAAAAGTTATATGGTGACAAATTTTATAACTATAAGTGTTAATAATTATTACAAAAAACATTGTCACAAAAATAATGATATTCACGTTTTTGTGACAAATTATATTTGTTGTTATAAATTTTAACTATAGTGATAGCATATATTGTCATAACTATTTTTCTTCATTTTTTTTTCAAAATTTATAATGACAATTTTTATAATTATAATTTATAGTTATTTTTATAGAAAAAATTATCACATCAAATAATAAAATTCAAGTTTTTTGTAATAAATTATTTTTGTACTTATATATTTAAATTATTATGAAAAATTATACTATCTAAATCATTTCTCCATATTTTTTAGTGTAAAAAATGTTATATATTAACAAAATATATTGTCATAAAGGTTTTCTGTCATATTTTTTTGTGCCAAAAAAATCATATAGTAATAATTTTTGTAACTATAAGTGTTTATAATTATTACAAAAAATATTGTCACAAAAAATAATGATATTCACATTTTTGTGATAAATTATAGTTGTAGTTATAAATTTTAATTATAGTGATGACATATATTATGATAAATATTGTTATCCACTTTTTTGTTTCAAAAAGTGATATTGATAAGTTTTTTAATTATAATTTATAGTTATTGTTATAGAAAAAATTATCACATCAGATAATAAAATTAAAGTTTTTTGCAATCAATTATTTTTGTAGTTATATATTTTAATTATTATGAAAAATTATACTATCAGAATCATTTCTCCCTATTTTTTGGTGCCAAAGATGTTATATAATAAAAGTTTTATAGTTATTGTTATAGAAAAACTATAACAACAAAAAATGTATTTTTTAATTAATAAATGATTTTAGTTTTTTATAAAAAAAATATGCTAGTTATACATTTTGAATATAATGAGAAAATATAATTATTATTATTATAAAAAATAAAATGTTTAAAAAAATCAATTTTCTATGATATATATAATTTAATGGCATTTTCAAATAAAATATAATAACAAAATATATTATCAAAATGTTTTTATTTATTTTTTACGAAGCTAGTTTGAATTTTTTTCCTTAATTATAATTATGTAAATAATTTAATAAAATAAAGAATTTGAATAAATCAATATGCATAATTGAACAAATTAAAAGTAATTTCATTTAGAAGCATACAAACAATCGTAATTAATTAAACTAAATAATATATTTTAATAAAATAATTGTCTCACTTAAAATTATAAGTAATCCTCCTCCTCCTCTCCTTCTTCATATTGGTAGTCTATATCTTCATTTTCACCACCATCGCCACCACCACCGTTATTATCACTATCATCATGTAACTCAATGATAATCAATTTTTTAATAAAAAATAATTTTAAAATATATGAATAATAAAATAATTATTTCATAATTTTAATAATCGAAAAACTAAATAAAATAATATAATACGATTATAAAATATTTTATAAATTTTAACAGTAAGAAGAATTGCAGAATACTGTATAATCGATTTTTTTTCTCTTATCGTATACAATTATTGCATAATTGATTCCGACATGATTGCACATTGTAGACACTCGTTTTGTCTGGGATTATATTGTTTTTTATTTTTTATTATTATAATTATTAAATATGAATTTAATTTATTATTTTGTAGCTATTACAAATACTCAATTTGGGTCCAGGAAAGCCCAAGATCATTAGAAAACCCTAAATTTTATTTCTCTTACAAAAACTCTGGCCTCTCCTCTCTTTTAATCTTCCTCTTTGCTAGCCGCCTCTCTCAACCAAAATGACGGGAGAACCAGTGAATCCCAAAGCATACCCATTAGCCAATGCTCAATTAACCACCAGCATTCTGGATCTTGTTCAACAAGCTGCTAACTACAAGCAACTCAAAAAGGGTGCTAATGAAGCTACTAAGACCTTAAACAGAGGTATCTCGGAGTTTGTTGTAATGGTTGTCGATACTGAGCCCCTTGAGATTCTGTTGCATCTTCCTTTTCTCGCTGAAGATAAGAATGTGCCTTATGTATTTGTTCCTTCAAAGCAAGCGCTTGGGCGAGCATGTGGTGTGACAAGACCTGTAATCGCCTGCTCTATCACGAAAAATGAAGGAAGCCAATTGAAATCTCCAATACAACAGCCCAAGGATGCCATTGAGTAGCTCCTAATCTAAAGGTATTATGCAATTCGTATTCAGCGTGTGGGCTATTCGCCTTTAGTTTGTGTTTCATTTTTTCTTCTGGAAAAAGAATGCTTAGATTTGGATTGTGGGTTTGCTAAAGATAGTAATTTGAGATTTATTTGAATAATTTGTAGTTGATGACAAGCGGAAGGAAAAGAACATGAAAGTAATGTATAGATTTTTGCAGCTTATCCTTGAGAATTATATTAAGCTTAGAAGAAATCATACATGTTCATTGAGTTAGTTGCATAAAGAAAGAATGGAGAACTTTCAGTCTACATTTATACTGTGAGAAACTAAGTGGCTGTCTTATTACAGTGTACCTTTTCTAGGAGGGGAGCATTAAGTATAATGTGCTTAGTATGCTAATGATTAGTGAGATATGTTAGGGCTAGGTATATTTTGTCTTCTTTGTCATTAAGGGCATGCGTAGGATATTGTTTAGATTGTGTTAAATAGGATTATTGTATGATAAAAATGGAGCTACTTGTTGGGTGTTATTACTTGATCATTCCCTTTGAAGTTTTTATAACTTTTTTGCTTATATACCATTTGGATATTGTGATTGAACATCATATTTAGATTATTAGGGCTTGATTTTAATATATTTCTCTAAATGATGTAAAGTGAAGCTTTTGATTTGCTAATCTTGTATGAACTTGTCTTTCTTACACGGTGATTATTTACTTAAATATCTAAGTTCTTACCTCATATCTGTTTTTTTTGTCTAGTCAATATGATGTGTTACTTTTGATACAATCATTTTTATCAATTTAATTAATCACATCCGTTCTCTTTGCGACAATAAATGGAAGAATTATGAAAAAAGAAGAAAAAAGATGTCATGCATATATGATATGATGTGTTACTTTTGGTTATGTTGTTTTGGAAACGTATGGCCTGTATTGCCATTGATTGTTGTCTTAAATGTTTAATTAAGATGACACGCAAGAATCCGTTGTCATACTGACAAAGATGTTAATAGCGATGCGTTACTTCTGCTTATGTTAATGCTTGAACAAACGGTTTTCAGGTTTCGAATTTTGGCCTCTAAATTTTTGCATTTTTCTTTTAATTCATCTTGTCTGTTTGTTTGTATTTCGTACTATTTATAAATTCAGCACGTCATTCTGAAGCTATTCATTTTAATCCTATGTGTGTCCGGGATTTATTCTATTTCCAGTGCTTGTAATTCTGCCAAGTTGCATTTTAACCTTTAGCATGTATACTTCATTTATTTGTTGTAACCCTTCATGGACAGTTGTTTGTATGTGTTCCATTCGAGCAAAGCTGATCAGTGGAGGGAAGGCGTGGATGACTGGGATCGATTAAAACCGGTGCCTAATCTGTGCTTCTGCCTTTAGTTAATTCATTTTCACTAGTGGTCTATGAAGTGTTTGGTTTTAGTTTTCTGTTTAGTGCAGCAGTTTAACTAGTGTCGTCATTTAGTTGAAGCCCTTTCCTTTCTATAGTTGGACTGTGTGCGAGATATGATGGTATGATTTTGGGGGCTTTGATTCACGGAGTTGGACTTGTCTTGAAAATAAGATTAACCCTCACAAAATTCCCGCCTAAAAAAATGTTTTCGTTTCTGTATCTAGACACCTCTTTTGTTCTTTTTGTTTGTATAAGCAAGAAGTTGTAAAACCAACAATCAAATGGAAATTTATTGTCATCTGAATTATGCTTTGATGATTGAAAAATGAAAATATGTTCACCTTACCTTTTGATTTGGTCTGTTGTTTAGCTTTTGTGCTGGTGCTTTACATTTTGGGTGGTTTGATCCTCAAGATTGGTTCAGTTTGTAAATCTTTGAAAAGTTTTATAATTGACAGGAAACATTTGCTGATAATAATGGCGGGTAAGAGGAATAGCTATGGAAAGCGAGCTCATTCTCAGTCTGATTTTTCTGAGAATGGATCAAATAAGAGGAGAAATACAAGTGATGACAGGGAACAATTTGCTATTGTTTCAGATGATACCTTATATTCGATATTTGTGCCCTGCAAGAAAGACAATTTATGATAATTTATATAGACAAAATAACAAATTAAATTTAGTTAAAATAAAAATTATGTCAAATTTAATTAGTCAAAATATTTTACCAAAATAACAAATTATGACAAATTTAAATAGTTATAGTAACAAATTATAATTAATATTAATTTCTCAATATAAAATGTTATGACAAATAATATTTTTTTCACAATAATCAACTATAACAAATTTATTTAGTCATAATAACATATTAAATTTAGTCAAAATAAAAATTTATGTTAAATTTATTTCGTCACAATATTTTCTCCAAATAACAACTTTTGACAAATTTATTTAATCAAAATAACAATTTATAATAAATATTAATTTCTCATTATAAAAATTTGTGACAAATAATATTTTTTTCACAATAATAAATTATAACAAAATTATTTAGTCACAGTAAAAAGTTATAAAAAATATTTAATGACGAAATAAAAGTAGTGAGAAAATAAATTTTGTTGTAATATGTCTTTTTGTCACGAAAACATTTTTTGTTTGATGTTATAATTTAATTTATATGTGACGAAATTTACTTTTTGTGATAAAATAATTATTTTATTTTAACAAATATTCCGTCTCTCTAAGTTACATTTAATGACGAAATAGCAACTGCGACAAAATAATTTTCGTTGCCTTATGTATTTTCGTCACAAAAACCCTTTATATTTGATGTTTAAATATAAGTTAGTTATGATAAAATGTACTTCTCGTGACGAAATGGTTAATTGATTGTGACAAATATTTTATTGTGATAAGTTAATTATAGTAATGAAATTTCATTGTTACAATAAATACTATACAATGGTAACGAACATAATTTTGTCACAATATACTTTACATGACAAGGTTGTTCTAACAAACATGGTAACAAATAAAATTGGTCAGAATAAATATATCGTGACAAATTTAGTACTTTTAGTGATAAATAATTTTATTGAAACAATCGAAATTTCTTGTAGTGACACCAAGCCAGGAATGAATACAAGGTGGCAGCCAATAACAAGGCTCAAGTCACCATGCATAACCCTAGGATTAAGGAGGAAAACCACATAGCGGTATCCATTAAAGAAAGATTCAAAAGAGGGTCCCTTAAGACCAAACCTATTTCAAAATTCAACCACCGTAAAGGATTAAAGATCAAGAAAGTTGGTGATCATAAAATCACAGGCTCACCTGTTCTTGTTAAATGGGTGCAATCCTTTTCTTCCCAAATCGATTCCTTTGATCATCTCAGTAAAACGAAAAGCACAAGACCTTAAAGTGAAAGAAAAGAGGGTCGCAACAAGAAGACGAATGAAGAGCACACAGATATTGTAAGGAAAGATGTTTTCTAAGAGGTAGGCACCAGCAACTCCTAATAACATTCTCCCTTCCATGACAAGTTTTCTTTTCTGGAACGTGCAAGGGGTGGTGAAACCTTCCTTTTGCATACATTTCAAAGAAATTATTAGAACTAAAAGACCCAGAATTGTAGCCCTCTTCGAAACAAGAACGAGTGTCGAGAATGCAGACATAATAATTTCTATACTCAATTTTGGCAACTCCTTTCTTATAGAAGTACAAGGGTTTAGATAACACGATTGAGGTTAACATCATTCAAATCGCTAACCAATTCATACATGGGAAATTCAAGGAAGAGACATTAAATGGAAGTTTTTTCATGTCGGTGTGTGCTACCCCGAATATTACCATTAGGAAACAGATCTGGAACCTCATAGACAACCTTAACCGTGAGGACGGTAAAGCCTGTATACTTGGTGAGGATTTTAATTTTGTGTTAAGAAGTGAAGATCGGTGTGGAGGAGCGCTCATTATAAAAACTACAGTAAACATTTCAATAACTTTGTGCTTAGTGACGGACTTGTCCAGTTCCGGTGACCTTTGGAAATGACTAGATAGGTTTATTATGAATGATAGGTGACAGAGGCTTTACCCGAAAACCAAAGTATACCGTCTAGATCGGCTAGGCTCAGACCATGGCCCTCTCCTGCTCCAAAGGTCTTACGACAAAAAGAGGAAAAATAAGAGACCATTTCGGATGATTGTTGCTTGGTCCACAAAAATTGGAACCAATGAGAATGCGACGACAAACTTGGCTAATTCAGAAAAGATGTCCAAAAGGAGGTGTTCGACAACATTAGTGTGAAGAAAAAAAGAATTTTAGTGAGATTGAATGGAATTGAGAAAGCTCTCCAAAAATACCAATCTGATTTTCTTATTGAGTTGAAAAAAGACCTTAAGCTTAAACTTGAAGAAATATTCAGACAAGAAGAGCTTTTATGGTCCCAAAGGTCTGGGAACAAATGGATTATGTATGGGGATAAATACACAAGTTTCTATCATATGTGCACTACCTTCAAAAAAAAGAAGGAATTCTATAAACACGTTAACCCTTCCTTATGGGGAGAAGTGTTGTGACCAGGAAATCCTGATAAAACATACGATTCATTATTTTCAAAGCCTATTCTCTAGTCCCTCGGTCAGTTATTTCTCAAGAATTCAAAAGGAACATTTGAGTCCTCAGTCAGTAATAGTGAAATTAAGGAAGTAATTTTTGAAATGGAGCCTCTCAAAACACTTGGGATCCATGCTATTCTCTACCAAAAACATTAGAACCTAGTGGGTGATAACGTATGCAGGTTTGTGAAAAATATCTTGGGTAGGGGACACATTGTCGCAACCGTCTTTCGGTTGGGTCCCGAAATTGGGCTTCGACTTAAAAAATGTGAATTGGAGTCGCCACCGATCATTTATTTAAAACAAATGGGTTGATCGGATACCCTATTTCTTACCTGATCTGCGTCTTTCCAAAGATGTGTCGGGTTCGGGAGTCGGTTACGGTCAAGGAAGGATTAGCACCCTTGAACCGTCCTTTCGGTACTACGTAATTTCCAGTTGTCTTTGATTAAGAAAATTGCAAGTTAAATTAAAAGGTAAAATTTGATCCGAATTACTTACCCTTAATGAGTTTACGGAAATACCCTCAAAAAATAAGATTTTAAAAGAAAATAATAATAATAATAATAAAAGAAAGTAACAAAATTAAAGAGTGAACTAATGAAATAAATGAAACCAATAATAATAAACATAAAATAATTGGATGAAAAAAAAATGAAATTGAATAAAATAAAATAAATGAAGATAAAATATATATACAAAAAGAATAAAAAAGATAAAGTGTTTTTTTAAAAAAGAAAAATAATAATAAGAGCAAAGAAACTAAAAATATAATGAAAATAAATAAATAGTATAAATAAAATAATAAAAAATATATATATAAAAATATAAAAATGTATGTATAATATAATAAAATACTAAATAGTAATAATAATAATAAATAAATGAAAAATAAATATACATATAATATTAACTAAAAAAATAATAATCATAGAAATATAAAATAAAATAAAGTAAGAATATATATATATAACGTTAGGAAAATATAGTAAAAAACATATTAAATAAGTAAACATATATAAAAAAAAATAATATAATATATATATATATATAATAATAGGAAAATAATATAATATAACGTAAAGAAAAATGAAAAAAAAAATTATAACAAATAAATAAATAAAATATAATTAAATATATGCATATATACATATAAATAATAAGGGTTAAATTAAAATAAAAAATGAATTAGGGGTCAAAATTAAAAGCCAATCGAAGAAAAAAAATGACAAAACACGCGGATCCACACGACCCGTTTATAAAAATCCGAATAGTTTTTCAAAAACACAAGCCTCAGGGACTAGATCTACAAAAATAGATCTCGAAAACGCCCCCGTTCATCGGCCAAAAACACTTCTCTCAGTTTTCTTTCGAAATCAAAACACAGCAAGGGTAAGAAAAAATAACATGCGAATGTATGAATTTTACCTTTCAAAATATAAATGCTTCGAAAAATGACTACGAGTTGCTTGTAATTTTTTGCTTGGTATTTCGTATATCCTCCTCCGAATGTGTTACAATAGTGAGTTACAATGACTATTTATAATGCTTGTGGATCCTATCTTTAGGAGTTTAAATAATAGTAGAACTCTATCATATTTTTAGGAGTTTGAATCCTAACAAAATTCTATCCTATTTTTAGGAGTTTGAATCCTAGTAGGACGAAAAGGTGTGTTGACAAGAGTTTCCCACATTGTGTATAGCCGGCATAACATGACAACCGTGTCCAAATTTGACTGGGTCTTAACACAAGTCATGAGCTTATGTTGGTAGATTGCTTTAATCGAAACACACTAATTTTCTTCAAACACAATTTATTGTACCAAGTACCAATAACTAGTACAATTTCCACGCCTTCTTTATTATACTCTAAACAAGATCCGAAGCAGGCCGGAGAAAACACCAATGTCAAGCTCATTTATTACATTCATTAAATCTCACCCTCAAGGTCAAACGTTTCAAGCATTAATTATATTACTTTAATTTTATAATGAAAATGCTTGCGTGGGAAGGGATGGGCAATTGGCAAGACCCCAAAGGCTCATCTACAAGATTGATGGTAGTGACCACAATTGTTTCGTCCACAAGCTTGTTGT